TCACCTCAGTAGAGTACCATGGTATCACAGCTTACAGAAACCTCAAACTCTTGGGCTAAAGCAATTCTCTTGTCTCAGCCTCCTGAGTAGCTGGGACTATAGGCACCTGCCATGATGCCTGGCTATTTTTTTGTTGCAGATGTCATTGTTGTTTAGCTGGCCTGGGCCAGATTTGAACCTGCCAGCCTCGGGTGGTGGTATACGGCTGGTACTCTATCCATTGAGCTATGGTGGCCTCCTGGAAATGCTTTTTGATGCTGAAAGATATATCACTCCTTTGGAATACCAACAACATTTACACAAATTTTTACAATGAAAATTTAAATACCCATTTTAGTTTTTCGTTCTCTTCCATAAATTTTTTGGCAGCCTTGTTAGTATTTTCTGCTTGAGTTTTAAGTACGCCTTTGTTTGACAGTTCTTTTGCCAGCTGAGTAATAAGTACAACCAGACGTCTCAATACTCTAAGAAAAAAAAAATCAGAATAATGTATAACTAGACCAGTCATCAGAAACTGTGACATTAAAACAAATAGCCACTGTCATATAGGTCCCTGTTAGGTATAGCTGTACTGAAAGGATCATGATTTTATATTTTTAAAATCCAACGCTCCCAATCAAAACAAGCCTGTATCCTTTGGAATCCGTTAGAAGACCAGAATTTGGGTATTGGTTCAGTGGAATTTATTAAGTTTTTTTTTTTTTTCGAAACAGAGCCTCAAGCTGTCCCCCTGGGTAGAGTGCCGTGGCATTAGAGCTCACAGCAACCTCCAACTCCAGGGCTCAAGCGAGTCTCCTGCCTCCGCCTCCCAAGTAGCTGGGACCACAGGCCCCCGCCACAACGCCCGGCTATTTTTTTGGTTGCAGCCGTCATTGTTGTTTGGCGGGTCCGGGCTGGGGATTCGAACCCGCCACCTTAGGTGTACGTGGCTGGTGCCTTAGCCGGTTGAGCTATAGGCGCCGAGCCTATTAAGTTTTTTTTGAAGAGGCTTTTAGCCTAAAGGAATAGCAAAAGGAAAATTTCAACCAGGGTGGCAGGACCACTAAAAGAAGTCTTTTTTGGGCCCAGTTCAAAATTTCCCATTTAGAAAGCACTGTATAAAGTTGGTCAAGTCTAAGAACTGCTTATTCACATCTATTCATAGGTAACCTCCACTGTTAGAATATTTTCAATTATTTATTCAGTAGATATTTGTTTACTCAGGAATTGCTAAGTGTTAAACACTATGCTTGGCACTGGGAATGCAGCAGGAAAAAAACCAGTCTGTGCTTTCAAGGAATTTAGGTTCTGCTTGAGGAGGCAAAAGGTAAAACAGCATTTTAATTACAAGTATGAATATACTAGAAAATAATGTATATATATCTACACAAGAACTTTTAAGAGACTATTTACTTTGGTCTATTTAAGTATTTAAGAGCTATTTACTTTGGGGGTTGTGATGGGCACAGAATACTCCCCTGACAAAGAGGCTGAAGGACGAGTATGAATTAGCTAGCCAGCAGAGGAAAGGATAAAGAGGGAAGGGAAGAGTGTTCTCCCAGAACACTAGTGCAGTCTAGGCTGTGTGAAGACCCTGAAGTGGGAAGGAGCGAGGTACGCCATTGAACTTAATCACTATTTGTTCCAAGACTGAATGAATGAATAAATAGTAAAGGTCAGTGTGGGTGTAATGAATTTTTCATGTCAGAAACACATATGAGACAACACTTCAGAGAAGCAGGGGCGAGATCATTCAAGGCCGTAAGGATTTAGCAACCCAACAAGCTGTTACTATTGTTAATAATTTCTGTATATCTCTCATCCGAATCCTTTTATGGAGATATTAGCTAAAAACATTGATAGTGAGAAAAATGAGAAAGAGAAGCGTAAATCTTATTTTTAAATTGTGCTTTTTTTTTTTCACTTACAGCCAAAAAAATAATGAAAATCCAGAAATGTAAAGATTTCTTTGAGACCTAAAAAGTTTCATCTGTGTATGTTCATAGGCATCAGGTCTGGGGCTTGAGCTCTTTTCAAGGATATGACCGGCGGAATACTTCCTTACTTCTCTCACAGCATCTATTATAGAAAAAGAGAAATGGAAAGTAGTTTTAGAATAACTGACCAACCGTTTTAATAATAGGCTTTAGATAAAGAAGCTCTTTTGTTTCTTTCCCATAGCACCTAGGAAAGTATTACGCTCAAAGTAGGCATTCTGTAAATGGATGCTAGTGCCAAATTTTCAATAATTTTTTTTCTTTTTTTTTTTTTTTTTGAGGCCAGGATCCAGCGCTTGAGGCTGGAGGTTGTGGTGTCTGCAGGGTCGAGGCGTTAGTTTGGAGCTCCAGCCAGGATGATTGAGGTTGTTTGCAACGACCGTTTGGGGAAGAAGGTCCGCGTTAAATGCAACACTGATGACACCATTGGGGACCTTAAGAAGCTGATTGCAGCCCAAACTGGCACTCGTTGGAACAAGATTGTCCTTAAGAAGTGATCTCTGTTCCACAGGTACACGATTTTTAAGGACCACGTGTCTCTAGGGGACTATGAAATCCATGATGGGATGAACCTGGAGCTTTATTACCAATAGAGCAAAATTCCTTCCCCTGCCCCACCTTGCTTTCCTCCCACACTACCCACACTGGTATGGATGCTTGTTTTTAAAAACACACCTTAATAAAAACTTAGATATTGCAGAAAAAAAAAATAATAATTTTTTTTTTTTACCATTCATCTAGGATTTACCATTTTTTTGTCACTTATTTCTAGCTACACTATTATTCTTTACTCTTTCTATCCCTAACAATGACTAAAATTCAAGCTATTGACAATGACAGATTGTCATATCCCATTACAATAAATTCTATACTATTTCTCTTACTAGACTAGCATTTAATTACTTTAAATTGTTGAGATTTTAGAAATATTTGGTTACACTGAAATTTCCACTGGCATAAGTTTGTTAAAATGGAATTTGATCTATACTGGTATATTCCCTCTCCCTCCCAACTGGCCTGCGGATAGTATCTGCTACCAGAAATGATCAGACTGCTGCTCCTTTGATGCTTTCAGAGCTGTTAATCTCAGATCCAGTGGAAAATAGATATCAGCTTATTACTATCTATATTTAGTGCCTTCTTAGTCACTGTATTCTTATATGTACTAGGGAAGATATCTGCCTTAAGCGTCTCAAACACTTGTGTAGGTACAAGTAAGTTGGAAGCCTCTTCATGTGACTATCAGCATTCTTGGGAAAGAGTTCTTGCCTCACAAGGAAACAGATTGAGGCCATTTTGACTACTTTATCTTGTTTTTTAAATTTTGTATTGATTTTTTTTTACAGTACTGTTGAGATATAATTCACATATAAAATTTACCCTCTTAAAGGATATAATCCAGTGTTTTGTAGTATACTCAAAGTTGTACAACCAGAACATTTTCATCACCCCTCTCCCCCAAAAGAAACTGTATATTCACCCCCTGCTTTCCTCTGCTTCTGGCATTTACCACTTTACTTTCTGTCTCTATGAAACCTATTCTAGACATTTCATATAAATATAATCATAGTAGGTGTTTTTTTGTGTCTGACTTCCTTCGTTTAGCATGTTTTCCAGATTCCTCTGTGATGTAGTATGTATCAGTACCTCACTACTTTCATGACTGAATAATATTCCATTGCACAGGTTTGGTTTATCTATTCATCAGTTAATGGACATTTGGGTTGTTTCAACTTTTTGGCTATTATGAATAATGCTGCTATGAACATTCATGTACAAGTTTTGTATTGACATATGTTTTCATTCTCTTAGTATATAATTAGGGGTAAAACTGCTGGGCCATATGGTAACTTTATGTTTGATTTTTTTGAGGAACTGCCAAACTGTTTTCCAAAGCATCTGTAGTATTTTACATTCCCACAAGCAATGTATGTTGGTTCCAACTTCTCCACATCCTCAGCAACACTTGGTATTATCTTTTTGATTATAGCCATCCCAGTGAGTGTGAAGTGGCATATTACTCTGGGTTTGATTTGTATCTCCCTGATGGCTAATAATGTTTAGTATCTTTTCACGTGATTTTTGACCATTTGTGTACCATCTTTGGAAAAATATTTATTAAGACCCTTTACTCATTTTTAGGATCAGCTCCTGTAGCTCAGCAGCTAGGGCGCCAGCCACATACACCAGAGCTGGTGGGTTCAAACCTGGCCCAGGCCTGACAAACAACAATGACGACTATAACCAAAAAATAGCTGGGTGTTGGGGCGGGCAATGGCAACAAAAAAATAGCCAGGCATTGTGGCAGGTGCCTATAGTCCCAGATCCTTGGGAGGCAAGAGGCAAGAGAATCTCTTAAGCTCAAGAGTTTGAGATTGCTGTGAGCTGTGACGTCATGGCCCCCTACCAAGGGTGACA